TGTTGTGCATATTGTTGAGACGCATGATAGAGTTCCACAGAGTAGTAGCAAAAGAACAATCGACGAACAAGTGGTTTCGAGTTTCTGCCGAGTCAAGACAAAGGATACAAGAATCATCTGAAGCAATACCTATTCTAGAGAGTCTGTCCCTAGTAGGAAGACGATCCAAAATAGCCATCCATGAAATAATACTCAATTTTGGGATGTGAAGTGGGAACCATATTACTTTGTGCCATGGTACCTTAGCTTTATGATCTCTCATTTCCTCCCATAAGTCTCTGGTCTTTGAAATTCCAGTGCTAAGGGATAGGTAGTACTTCACTTCTAAGATTAATCAGTTTCCTGAAACACCAGCTATATGAAGAGCTATCATTGACATCATTGAAGTTACTACCTTTAAGCACATAGCAATGAATCCATGCAACCCACAAAGAACCTGTTCCTGCGAGAATTTTACGAATGAGATGAACCATGCAGGTTTTATTCCAAGATTTGAGGTCTTTTAAGCCTAGACCACCTTCAGATTTAGGGCAGCATAATTTTTCCCAACCGATTCTTGCTCCAGTAGCAGCTGTATCTGAACCTTTCCAAAGGAATCTGGAGCAGAGTTGGTCCAGTCGTTTAAGAACTTTCTGTGGCAATAAAAACTGTCTAGTCCAATAGTTAATCACACTGTGTAGGACAGTTTTAATCAGCTCAAGTCTACCTGCATAACTAAGAAGTTTCCCAGACCATTGATGAAGCCTATGTTTGTTATTATCAAGAAGAGGGAGACAATCTTTTTCGGTTAACTTTCTAGTAACAAGAGGAACACCAAGGTATCTAACAGGTAGATAACCATGTTTGAAACCTGTAGCAGATATGATGTTATCCAGGTTTCTAGATGGAATTCCGGCAGAAAACAATTATGTCTTGCTTATGTTAAGCTTTAATCCAGACAGATCATAGAAGTGATTTAGGACAGTCTTAACACCAACAATAGACTCAAGGTTTCCTTTGCAAAAAATTAAGAGATCATCAGCAAATGATAGGTGAGTAATGCCAATTTTTTTGCACTTAGGGTGAAAGCCGAATATTCCTCTTTTGGCAGCAATGTTAAGTAAATTTGAGAGAATATTCATTGCAAGAACAAATAAGATTGGTGATAAGGGATCACCTTGTCTTATGCCTCTTTGACCCTTAAAGTAGCCTATCAAACTCCCATTGAAGGAGATGGAATACCTAGCTCCTGTGAAACAAGCTTCGATCCACTTTATAAACGTGAGAGGCAACCCTATAGCATTAAGAACAGAAGAAAGAAAATTCCAGTGAAGGGAATCAAAGGCTTTATGAAGGTCAATTTTAAGGGCACACCTAGGGGAAATGTTTTTTCTACTGTAACCTTTCACTAATTCTTGAGCAAGAAGGGTGTTATCGAGAATCGATCTGCCTTTCACAAAAGTTGTTTGATTTAGAGATATAAGATCAGGCAACAGTAAATTTAATCTTTTGACAAGAATTTTAGTGACAATTTTATAAATCACTGAGCAACAGGAGATAGGTCTATAGTCATTGACTTTATTGGGGTTAGGAATTTTTGGAATCAAAGCAATTATTGTGGAGTTGAAAGCCGGGCTTATGTGAGCCTCTTTAAAGAAGTAATTAATAGCGTTAATGACATCCTCTCCTGTTATAGTCCAAGATTTTTTAAAAAACATAGGGGTGTAACCATCATGGCCAGGAGCTTTATCATTTCCTTGGCTAAATAATACCTCTTTAATCTCATCAGTAGTGACAGTTTTGATAAGATCAGAAACAGTCTCACTGGGTAAATTTACTTGGAGCAGGTTTTTTAGGTAGACAGGATTAGTATTATGAACTTTAGGATCGGACGTACCTAATTGTTGTTTGAAGAACCCAATTATTTCAGAAGTCATATCATCATAAGAATCAAGCCTTTTACCATCATTGTTAACAAGAACTCTGATGGTATCTCTCTTGTTTTTAGAGGCTATGGTAGAATGGAAAAATTTAGTGCATTTATCACCATCTTTAATCCATTGCATTTTAGATTTCTGTTTGAGGAACATATGCTCATTTTCCTCTAAAACCTTCAGCTCTTTTTGAGCTATCAATTCTTTATCAATTGAGATGGAGCCTTTAAGAGTTTCAATCTGAATTTGTTCCAACTCCAACTTCTTTTGATTTACCCTAGCAGAGATATTACTATAATGATCTTGGTTAAGCTTCTGCAAACAGGGTTTAAGACGTTTGAGTTTAGTAAATAATTTCTGCATAGGGTTGCCGTAGGAAGGATGTTGCCAAGACTGATGGACAACTTCAAGAAAGTTAGTGTGGGTGGACCAGAAGTTAAAAAATTTAAAAGGTTTGGGTTTATTGATTTGACTCTGTTTGTTGATCCATGCAAGACCCATACAGTGATCTGAAGGTCCAGGGGCAGTGAATTCAACAAAAGAATTCTGAAAAGTGGTAGCCCAAGGAGAGTTTATAAGAACTCTATCAAGTTTCCTTGCAAGGAAAGAATCTCTTTGTTTGTTGCTCCAAGTAAAAGTTGGACCAAAAAAAGGGTGGTCTTGTAAGGAAATATCTTGAATAGCATTTTGGAAATCAATCATATAAGAAGAAAGATAGGGACCTAAGAGATCAGAGTCAGTACTTTCTTTGGAGTCAAGAAAGGTATTGAAATCCCCTCCTAGGATCCAAGGAAGATAGCCAAACTTATGATCAATATCTCTAAGAGTTTGCCAAAGAATTCTACGGGTAATACCACAATTACTGCCGTAGACCGCAGTGATGATAAACGGATAGTTATTAAAAGAGCAATTGACAGTGATATTTTGGGCAGAAGAGTGGCAAAAAGAAATATCAATACCTTTCTTCCAAAGGAACCAGATTCTACCATTGGAAGCAAAATCGTAGTTAGTAAAGGCATTCCAGCTCGCAAAAGTAGAGTTTAAGATTTTATTAGAGTTTTCAGCTTTGACACGAGTTTCTAACAGGCATAAGACATCAACATTGTAAAGATTTGCTCTGTTGAGAACTTTTTTCTGTTTTTGAGGATTGTTAAATCCTCTGATATTCCAAAAGCAGATAATCATTGGGGAGTGGGGGAGTTTTGGTCCTCTAAGGCTACTTCTGAGGTACTAGTGAACTTAGAAATTTGTTCTTTCTTTTTCAATTTTAGTTCCTTGATCAGTTTTGCAACTCCAGCAGCAGCAGGTCTTTGTTTTTTAACTTGTACCTCGTTTAATGAAGGACTCTCATCAACAGTGGAAAGAATATCAAATCTGTTTGTTGTGCCTCTCATCACACTTTTAGAATTAACTTTAATAGGTCGACCTCTACCTCGTTTAGGGAGAGCATGAGACCCAGTTTCTTTAATAGTTTCCACTTGAGAAGAAAATTCGCAAGGAGGCGGATTTAGTTCATTTTCTTCAACTGCTTGCGAATCAGAAAGATCGACATTAGAAAATAGATTCGGATTGTGAGGAAGAGTTGAGTTTGAATCTTTCCCTGACTCTAGTTTATTGAGATCATTGTTAGCGCTGGAGGAGGAAGGTTCTGTCATTGTATCACCCTTAGGTAACAGGTTCGAATTGGAAGGAAGAATTGGTTTTAAAACTTTCCCCGTCTCTAGTTTATTTAGTTCATTATTAGCTCTAGAGGAGGATGGTTTTGACTCTGAGGCATGTTGTTCATCTACTGTTTCTGTAGATTTAGGGGCAGGGATTTCATTCTTTTTTCTCCATATTTTCGAAGTTTGGGGAGCAAGAATATGATTGTTTAAGCAGCCTTTTTCTGAATGGCCAAAGGTTTTGCAGTTAGTACATCTAGGAGGGAACCAAGGAACATCAACGTTGATAGTAGTGGATATTCCATTAGCAAGAACAACCTCTACAGATTCTGGTATTTTCTCCTGTGCACCTACCTCTATACAGACCTTAGCAAAATTAAGTCTGGATTTGTTAGCAGTAAACGAGTCCATAGTCAAAGGTATTCCTAAGGCACTAGCTATATAGCTAAGGCCTTTTCTAGAGAATAGTTCTAAAGGGACATTAAACAAGTGCACCCAAATAGGCAGACGAGTTAAATCAAATTCAAGATTATGCAAATTTGGTTCCCACTTTCGTAGGATTAGAGGTTTATTAAGAACATGCCATGGGCCATTTTCAAGAACCCAGTCCCGAGCATTAACAGAGTTGAAATTGAAAACATACAGGTTGTTGCCAACGATACTTACCTGAACCCTAACCCCTTGCGAAGGCTGATTCCAGAGGTTCTCGATGATACTTTGCAGATGGATGAATTTTGGAGCAGCACCTAGTATCTGGCCAACGAGAGAAGAAGACCATTCTGCAGAGCCAGCCTCGAGAACTTCTTGTGGGGGTTGTACAATAGGGATTTTATCCTTTGATTTTGGGGGAAAATACGATAGTTCTTGCCCGGCTTGACATCCGAAAAGCTTTCGCCAATCCATGGAAAAGCCGATTGAGTGAGGAAGACCCGTGGAGGAACTGTGACGGACAGAGGGTCACCGGCGAACGCGACGCGACGGAGTAAACTAGGTATCGTTAGTCCAGCTAACTTGCGCCTAGGCAAAGCGTATCGTGCGCCTTCAGAGAATATGACCGTTTTTTCCACTAAAGCTTTTTTTCCCTCCCTTATCATATTGCGCCGATATTATGTCACAGTAACTTTTAAAAACGTTACAATGTGGGCGTTACGCTGTGTTGTAGCTGCAATTTAGTACTATGATAACCGGCAAATCCCGAATTTGTGTGGTCAAAATACAGGCTAAGGGCTACGTCGAAGAGGCACAGAAGGAGAGCCTGAAATGATATTTTCCAGCAATATCATAGGGGGGCTAAGGCATAAATTAAACCCAAAAGACATGATAAAAGGACAAAAATGGTAATTGGACCTCTTCAACCTCCAAGTTTCTATTTTCAAACTACAAATAGCTAGTACGTAGAATAGCAAGCTAGCTGCAAATATTGAAGCAGAAGAGAAAACCCACTTCTGGTCCAATTCTGCTTTACTTTAAAGAAGAAACACAGAAACAAGAGGTACTTGATGTTTCTATAACCTTAATTAATAATTTGTACGTCTAATTCATGGGACTTAATGATAGAATAACTCAATAAACTTACAAAGTATCGATGGTAAGAACCGTAACTAACAACCGATGGACCCACAGATTTACTAAGACAGTAGCAGTACTTGTATAGTAGTAGTGCTAAATTTAACTTCATACTCCTTTGCCTTCTCCCCTTGGATCTTTTCCCTCCACTCTGCCATATTTTGCTACTTTTCTGAATGCCGATCATTCTGCACCAGCACAACAAAACCCAGAAACGATAAGCGTTACTTCTTGTCATATTATAAGTTATCTCACTTGTAAATTTTTTTTAAAAAAACTCCAATATATATAAGTTAATAAAAAAAATATGATACTTCTGCTGTCATTGAACCCCGTCTCGAACATATTAATCCTTGACAGAACAGTTTCCAGGGAAAATGGAACATTGATCATCAAATCTTCTAATTATTAAGCAACTAAAGCAAAATAGATGAAAAATGAAAATATAATCACAGAATATGGTACAATAATCTACCATGGTAAGTGGAGAGGAAAAATAGAAAAATTCATTATAATTAATTTGAATTATGTTTAAATAAATCTATAAAAGTATCTATTTATTAACTCTTTAGTTATTCTTGTTTTATTTTGCTCTGATTTATTGATGGTGTGTTGAATATTCTTCCTGACTGATATGGTGAAGGTGTATATAAGTTCATACTTGTTAGTAGTTAACTATATCTATCTGTTTTTAAATTTAATTAACTACTAAAAACAAAAACCAATTATTTATATTTGTTTTCAAGGGTTTTAATGAGTGTCTATATATCATAATAGAATTTAATTTATAGATATGTGAATAAATGCCTAAAACTTTATCTTTACCTGGTTTGTTAACAATCTCTTGGTCCTGAAAAGAGCACAAGACCTTTTGATGAAATGCGATTCATAAGACTATACTGACAGTTATAAACAATAAACTTAACCCTATAACTTATACATATAGGGTAATAAGGGATATGGTACCGATTGTGCTCCTCCATTTCATAGGCTATATATGCTTGCTAGTGGAAGTGTGGAACCCCTCTTGTACAAACTTTTCGGGTTATATGGTTTTACTTTTCAGATACCAAACGATGGTTCATGCCCTTTTCGAGATTGGGGACAAGTCTTAATCTAAAATAGATATGTAGAAAATACTAACAATTGTTAATGTTGATATTTAATTCTAATTAATTTTATAAATTCATATAATAACTTTTGAGAGATGATTCTTCACAAGATTTTCTTTAATAAAGTTGGATAAGATTTTTAATAATCGCACATAGAAATTCAAATTATTATGTGTATACAGAGTATAATGCTTGACATGATAATTATGACTCGTTTTGATTTGCACGACCGAGAAAGAAAAAATTTGTATATCTAGGGATGGACTGAGATGGAGTGGGTGAGGTGGTCGTCCCTCTAAAAAATTAATTTTTTATATATTTTAGATATTTTTATATTATAGATTGAAAATTATTTACGCTCTCTAAAATTTTATAAATTTGTTTTTTATATAATTTTATAAAAGATTTGTTCCCTAACATAAAATTATATGTTCGTCCCTAAGCATATTATATATATACTCCGTTCGAACATTCCAACTTAGAAACACTTTATATGTGCTGCTAAAATGATCCAAAGACCTAAGAATGCAAACGCATGAAAAATCTAGCGAACCAACAAGGTATTTGTTAGGTTCCTCATCATCATATTGATTCTGCTCTAATTCCTAGTGACACTGGTATGCTATGTATAATATTTTTCTGCTCATTAATATATATCAATACATACACCTATATCTACTCTTTCCAAAGGCATTGTAAGGAGGGGAAACTAGATTTCCTAAGAAAAAGTTGTTTCTTATTAATCTCCGTACTAATCAGAGCAAATAAAAGATAGAAAGAGCAGGGAAAAGAAAGGTAGCAGTACTAACATTATTCTCTCTGATATTCCGATTCAGTTGAACATAGAGTGGGTAATGGCAGTAGCTAGCTTTTTAGTGTTTAGAGCTCTTGGCTTTAGAAGCACGTGTGTACTTGCCCTCTCAACTCAACTTGCTTCCAAGAGGTCAAGCTAGTTGGCATTCACGGGCATTTAATTTCTTATTAACACCAAACAACAATACTATTACCATCTTTTTTTTCCTGTCCCTGCTTAACAATTTGAAATATTTGTACACCCAAAACCTAATTAAGATCGAAATCCAAATGTGTAATGAGGTTTCCGAAACCACTATCACAATCCGGACAGAGGAAAGCTAAGAGACTAAGAGATCTGTTATCATCTTCGGTATTATGGTTTTAGTGAGGTTGATTATTGCTTTGGGGTTTGCCTGTGTTTACATGGTGGGTTGACTCGGTTTAAACCATCGAAAAAGAAGAAGTTATCCAACAATTGAACTCAGAATTTACAATAAATATTGAAAGTTTGATGATAAATCATTCTATTTATTATTTAATTAATTTAATTATCAAAACTAATGATGTATCCCACTAGATTATATATGTTGACGAGAAGTGTAATTCCTTGTAAAACGCAATGTATAATTACACACCAATCGTACAAAATAAAATAAAATCATAAAATAAAGAAAAAAGTATATACGTAACGTAATGGCAATACCTTGCGACCACAAGTCCGCAATCGTTTGATATGGATTCTATTACCATTAGCTTATAAAGATGCAATCAAAGAAGGGATGCGATGACGTACCTACTGTTAAATAAATTAATTTAAACTGTTAATCTGCTATTGGAGAAAATCTAGTGTCCGTATGAATTGCCACCACTCAAATATTAATATAACTAATTTTGGACCATGTTTTCTACGAGAAATCACCAACATATAGATATTGATAATCTAACACACTCATAGAATATCAACATGGACATTCATTTCACGGGGAGCACAAAATCAAACAGAATCAGAAAAGACCCCCCAAAAAAAGCAAGGGGAAAAGTAAAGATTTGGGAAATATTTTTGTACGATATTTATTTGTTTATTTTGTGTGCATGATGGGGGGAGAGAGAAATAGAGAAAAGAAAGAGAGAGGGGGTAAGGGCAATCTTTCTCCTTCAATCAATGCCACGCAATAGTAAGAAATGATCGATGGGTAAAAATTTAGAATTAAAATTACTTGCCACACTTCTGCAATACTGCAGAGGCCCCCAAGGCCTGAGTTTAAGAATTAGGGTTTTGGATGTAAAGCTTTTAGGGTTTTTTACCATCGAAAGAAGATCCTATACTTAAAATACTATCTTCATTGCGGTTCTGAGTTAGACTGTAACTTTCTAATAAACCAACCAGTTCCAGTTATTCAAGCAGTCTAGTTTTATTGTTCTTGAAATTTTATTTATGCAGAATTTCTTTTTATATAGTTACTTTTTAATGCAGCTCACTAGATGGACTTGACTAGATTTTGAGTGAAAAAGAGAAAGAGAAACAAATTTTAAATGAAAAGCTAATGATGTGTGTGTGTATTGTATCAAAGTAAAAAGAAATACCATATATGTGAAGAATCCAAAGATCTTAGGCAGCTAGCGAGGAGGGCTGTTGCTGGGAAGATGGTATAGGTTCGTCGACGTTGGGTTTAATTTGAGTCCTCTTCTTCTTCTTCTTCCTATATGGAATCCCTCTGGCCTTAGCTTGACAGTCCCTCACTTCACGCAAATAAACCCGAATAGTTCCGTTTCCAAAAGGGTTAGTCTCCGGTGACCCACCATGCTCTTCATAAGCAGCTCTGAGACGTCCGATCAGTGCATCAAGGCTCCCCCAGGCTTGCCTAAGTGGACAAGTACAAGGAGCAGGCGGGTCAGGTTGTCCGAAAAAGATGCAGCCGTGTAGGTGAACCTTAGTCTTCCCGAACTGATCCAGATATCTAAGGAAATCAAGAACATGGTTGCAGTTGCACTGTGATAGTGCAACCGGGGGCCTTTGGTTCTTCAAATACTGCCCGAAAGTGTTCCAGTCTCGCCGTTTCTGTGACCCGTACCGGCTCAGCGGAGCCGTCGCCTGAGGTTGATTGTGGTGTTTACTGAAGGATCGTGAGGACCCTTCAGCAGAATCCCTGGCTATATCACCCGACATGATTACTGAGAAAAGATGTTCGTTCCAGAGGAATTATTGGGTATTTTTGGCAAGAAATGATCATTAAAAATTGAAAAAGAAAAAGGTGGAAGAATAGAGATACTGCAGTGGAGCGAAAGATGAAAATCACATCTCTGGGTCTAACTGAGGAGACATGTCATGGGCCCCCTATCAAGATGCTTTTGCTTCCTCCCCTTTTTCTTCTTAAATTTTCTCTCATTCTCTGTGTTTTTTTTCTTCTTTAAAGAAAAAAAAACATTAATAACTTTTTAATATAATGTATAATTACAATTATCGTATACCAATGCTACTGTCATCGTTTTCATATATATATATATATATATATATATATATATATATATATATATATATAACCCTTTTGGTGACTAGAGCTAGTATTTAGTCGGTGCAAGAAAAAAATATTTATAACCTGTAACTTGTAAACTTGAGTAGTTGTTTGATTTCACCTTCTTTTTTCACAAATAAAAAAGAAAAAAATTAAACCGAAAAGAAGTTGGTGGTGTTTGACTTAGTGCGAAGAGCAGTTTAAGAGTGTAGAAGAAATTGCTAACAAAAAATTATTACCACTTTGATATTCTATCCATCACCACTAATAAAATAATTATGACTGATAATACATACATTAATAGTTTAGTGCTATTGCTGATGTTTCCTTTATTTATAAATTTGGACGAGATCACCATCAAGAGTGTGAGTCGGTGGACTTCATAAAAAGATATTATTTTATATAAAATTTTTATGCAATATAAAAATATTTTACCTCATACAGATTTTATTTTCTATAAAACAATAAATTAAATTAAATAATAATATAAAACCTTTAAGCGCTTTCAATTTTTATACTCTTAATATTACAACAACTATATTCTTTAAGTTAAAATTTAATAATCTTATCATTTATATTTTATTATTTCACCTCTGTTGATAAGTACATAAAAATGTTAAGATATTATTTTTTAAAATATTAATTGAGATAATGTCCCTGTCTTCATATGTGCCTTTTAAGTTTAATCTCGAAAAGAAATTATTGATCCCAAACGTTTAATCTCGTCCATTTTAATAATGTTTACGACTACTTTTTGTCATTTGGGTGACAATGGTTGCATGCAATTTTAGTTTAAATGTAAAGATGTAATTTACTGTCGTAAATAACATTTTGGACGTAGCCGCTAGAATAGACGATCGATGACCCACTCCCCTTGCCCAATGACCATGCATCTTTATACATATTTGCATGTTACTCATTAATAGCGAATGACAAAGCTATCAATGTGTGTTGAAACATCTCGAAATTTAAAGGGATTCACCAGTAAACATGACAATGAAATTGGGAGAAAATTTTATGATCTATATTTAAATTAATTTATGACTATAAAAGATTAATGTCTAATAAATTATTATTATTATTGTTTGATTTGAGTTTTGGGAAGTTGATAAGAGTAGACCATAATGAGACCAACTTTTGCATGATAACGAATGAAATCCCACATGTGGGCAGTGGGGACACATGTTTCAAATGAGGGGCAACCAGTAAATGTGCAAATAGTTAGCCTCCCGTGAGGAATCCTACCACCCACCCTATTTAGTTCTTCATAATCTTTTCTACTTCTAGTCGTCTCTTATTCCCAGTCCTTTTTAAAAAGTAAAATTTGTGATGCATTTCTGTTATTATTGTAATTTGAGATTTTCTTTTCAATCATCCATTTTCGTCAAAAACAAGCTTAAAGTTAAAATCTATTTGTCAAGATAAAAGGGTTGTTAATATTTCCTCAATCAGTACACAGAATATAGATATATAATTAAGTAGTGGGAAGTGTATCAAAGACTGGAAAACGTGAACAAGTGAAGAGTGCCAAGTCAATGAATATTAATTATGAATGGGGTAGGTTAATGAATGAAAAGACAAGAGGTTATTCTCCACCTGCATCAGTTTTGCTTTCGTCCAAAAAGAGTTTGTGGAGGGGGGGGGGGTGCATCTATAAGCGGAGGTTCTTTTATAAGTGGACATCAATGGTGCTTTCTCTATCTCTGCCCATATCTGCTTCTATATATTAATATCAAATATTCACTTCAAATTAATAATAAGACACGATTGAGGCCAATGTGCAGTGTTTAGCCATTCAAAAGAAAAGCTAAACCCAACTTTCTGCTCAACTATTTGAGACAAAATCTTGTGTGAAATTATGCATCAGCTTTTAATTTCCCAGCAAACCTTTTAATTGCCTTAACCTAGATATTCCAACTTCTTCGCTTCCTTATTGTTTTTAATTATCTAACAGAAAGACGAGGCGATCCACGTGAATGGGTCCATCTCCTTCACCAATTGTCTTTGATTGCTCCATCGTGGACCCTAAGTATATGCAATCCAAAGTATATGTTGTAATTTTTTAAGACAAATTTGGATTTTCTTTTATACTCTGACCGACCATCGAGTTGTGATATAGGCACATTAGCATCTTAGCTTCACTGGGTTTGCATATATTTTTCCTCCCCCAACAAGTACGCCAAATCGACAGTTTCAGGCTTGTTTGAATCATCGGACCGTAGGGCTTGGCCCACCTAAAGTGTTTACGTTGAGTGGTCAAACTCTACTCAATAAAATTTTCTTTCTTATCGTACACACACCAACTTATCTTTAAGTGATAGATCCAATTAGGAAGGGCAATGGAGCATGAATTGTCTGTCATCTTCGCCGCGCATTTACACGGACATATCACTTTCATAATCACTCTATGTTATTTCACGTCACTCTACCTCGTTTCTTTTACTAATATTTTTTTTAAAGTTAATATAATAAAAATCCTGAAAATGCATTTACATTATTACACGAGTAGTAGGTCCATGATTTCTGAAACTGGTCCAAGATGTTGGGCCTCCTGAATTTTAAAGTATATCGATTCCATTCCCAATGCATGGCTTGGAGAACAGAGGTGTGTCGGGTTTAGAGGTGGGTATACGGGCTACCCACCCGTTTAGCCCACGGGTTTTGACGGTGCGGGCTTAAACGGAGCGGGCTAAAAAGCCGGCATTCATAAACGGTTTTAAATTTTAAGGCCCGCGGCCCGTTCATTTAACCCGCGGGCTAAACGGGCTTACCCATGGCCCGTTTAATAAAAATAATTTTAAATGTTTTAAATACAATAAAAAATAATGTTTTAACTTACTACACCTTTAAAAATGATCGAGCAACTTGAAAAGAAAGGTAACATCGTCAAAATAATAAATAATATTTAAATTTTATTTTAAATAGCCGGAAATGATTATAAAATAATATTTTTTTAAATTTTTTAATCATTAATATATATATATATATATATAATGATATAATTACTTAAACTCAAATTAAAAAAAAACAATATTCACTTATATCACCAAATTGAAAAACAAATAAAACAATAATCACATTATACTTTTATAAAACACGATTATTCAAGGCTATAATACGAAGACACAGAAGTGTCTGAAAGCATAAATTCAAACATAAAAATTCAACAAAGTCAAACATTATACAAATCTAACAAGAAAGTTGTCAAGTGTTCCTAATAATTGTATTTTATAGATACATTAGAGAAATACTAAAACATAATATGAAAATATGAAATAAAATACTTACATTATAAGAGTAAATTTGAAAGATACAATTATACTAAAATTGATAAAATATAAGTCATTAATTGTTAAAATATATTTATTTTGTAAAAGTCTTTAAAAGTTGAAAAGTATATTTTTAATTTTTCTTTTATTTTTCTTTCTTATTTTTAATCCAAATATTATGTGTCATGTGATATATTATTAGAATATCACGTGACTTTTTATAATTAAAGAACAAAATAGATAACATACTTCATGAAAAAAAAAATGTCAAAACTAAATAAAAAAATCTTTAAATACCAAAATGATAATGATGCATATTTAAATGAAAAAAATATCAAGCAACAGTAAAATTATGAAAAACGCCCTAATAAATTTAAGAACTACAATAGTTATAAGTAACATCATATTTATAGGTAATTTATTTTCTTTTTCTATAAAATTCTTTAAGTTTATTTTCTCTAAAATTTTATAAATTTTAAATTAAGTGGGCTTTAACGGATTTAACGGGTAGCCCGCGGTTATACCCATTAAACCCGCGGGTTTAACGGTCCGGGCTAAAAAACCCCGCAATTTAAACGATCTTCAATTTTTGAGGCCCGAAGCCCGCACGGATGGCGGGTTAAACGGGTAACCCGCGGGCCTTAACCCATATACCCAGCTCTAGTCGGGTTACATTTCATTTGGACAATCAATGAAAGCTTTTCACAAAAATTCATTAATTTATCCAGTAGCTAAGGATAATTATATTTTCCTATTCTTGTATGAGTTAAAATCCTATATTTTTTTCTTAAAAATATAATGTTTCTCTACTTAATAAAAAAAGGAAAGCTTTTCACATCTTTACTTATTATCCCATCATCCAAACTATTTTTACCATATGAAGTTGTAAAATGTTATTTATGAAAAGAGATCAGGTTGCATTAAAAAAATCTGCAACATGGACCGCATCTCTGCACATCATTGGCTGCATGTTCACTTCTTCACTTAAATTGCCAACCCTTCTCTCCTCTTCTCCTCTTCTCTATCGCTTCAATACCGTAGGTCCAATCTTCCTTTTATTTTCTCCTAATAGAAATTACACAACATTTTGTTTAAATAATATAGTTTTTTTATATAAATAAAAACACACACTAAGGAGAAAATGACCCATTGGCAGAATGGGAGGGCGTCCGTGTCTTAATTATGATGCGAAGAATGTGAGATGCAATGCTACATGCTAGGTAAGATGGGTTATGTTTGTTACTTCTGCAGAATATGGGCTCCAAATAGACTACCGCTCGATTATGATCTTCTAGGTATTTCCCCACTTTTCATAAAATAAATTCACTTTAAATCAAAATAAAAATAGAAAAAAAGTGAGGATTTAGTTTAACGTAATAAATATGTAAATGTTTAGTTAAAATAATACTAAGTTTAAAGTATTTTTTTTTATAATCAGATAAAAAACTAGTGATAATTGTCCAAATGGTCCAAACTTATATTAATGGATCGTCCTAGCTTTACATTGATGAC